CAATACGAGCGCAGATGAGCAAAAAAGGCGGAAGTTAGACCACAATGGTCCTGCTCTCACCGTGCGCCCATATGTGTCGTTAATATCCATCATCATTGCCGGGCCGGTGGTGTGATCAGCCAGTATGAGGTGTTGCACATTGTCTAAAGCCGTTCTCACGCCTTTTAGTGAAACAGCGTAATTCAACACACAAAAGTCGGTAGAAGAACGACTAACAAACGAGAAAACCGACTAAGTGGTAGAAAACGTAGAAGTATATAATAACATAGATGTCACTTCCCGCTTCAAACAAACGTAGGTGCAGATACGATCTTTGGAACCGCGCCAAACGCAACCGCACTGACACGCCCCACCGGTCCGCAATGATGAGGACTGTGCATTCTGTACGTAACCGTATACAAGTATTGTATTTTCAGCAATGCTAATATAGACATTTACTTCTTGGTTGCTGGTGTCTGTCTGACGGCTAATTGCGTATACTTGACAATAGCATACTGCTATGCGTTTTTCATATTGCGTAGAAGACAACATGTTCAGTGGAAGGTTGGCTTTGTGATAATTTATAAGTGCCTGACAAAAAACAATTTATAGATAGAAGCGTGTCCAGATCGCTTAGTAGAGCACGGTCAAGTCATCATTTTGGATTAATAGGCTGAACGAGAGAGAAAGGGCTACGTTGTCGCTCAAGATGAGACATTTAATCGTTTTGCTGCAGATGCTGGAGCGTCTCGGGTAAGACAGGAAGGGGGGAGGGCAATGGCTTGGCGTCAGCCCTTCTCCACCAACTTGAAATTGGTGAGAGGATGGACTGGCGCCGTGCGAAACAGCATTCCTGACACGCTCCAGCATATACAGCGACCGCACACTTTTCGGCCACTTTTCGGGGAGACGTGCAACAGAATCGTCCGGGGTAGCGCCACAGCACGCGGCGCGTCGCGCAGCGAATGACTCAGCGGCTCACTTACGTATAGGTGCTCATCATTGCTGATACGGTGGGGCGGAGTGATGTACCCGCGCGGCGTCCTGCAATGACTCGGTGGACGCGACTGTCATCGTCTTGAAGCAGTCATCAGCGAGTCACACGCAGCTGGCCCGGCTCACCCGCGCCCCACCGGTCTGCAATGATGAGCGGACTGTGACATATTGCTAGCCGATAGCTTTGCGACTGGAGCAAATTGATTTACTACAGCGTACATTATGCAATATTTAGCAGGTTTCATCAATGATTGAAAATCTAATAATGTTATTCTTGGTAGTGACACACAATTATGTCGCAGGCCACGCCCACCAGCTGCACCGGACGATTCTCTTGCTACACATACACTTTTTCGAATGGATTTTTTCTTCTCTCTTCCTCCACGATTCATTTCTCTATTGATTAATGGAAACTCAGAAGAAGCCGCTTCGCTTGTGAAATTCAGAGAAGCACTTCGGTTTTTGTTTTGCAGTGCCCTTTGCAATCCGCACTAACGAGGGGAAGAGTGCACAGACTTGCTTGCTGCGGATTAAATGGCGTGCTACTGAGGCTGGGTTCGGCACGCAGCCTGTCCGTTTTCCGTCAGTACTTGAAGCAAGCAAAAGGCAACAGTTGATGGAAAACGATGATACGAACGATGAAATACAGCTTCTGCTGCGCCGTAAAAAAAGAGAAGAAGCGGATGCTGCGCCAAGCTTAGCCCCACCGGAACGCCAACCGCAGCAAACAAGGTGGGCAGAGTGGCCGTTCAAAACTGAAAGCGGTGCGACGTTCCCTGGCAGCGGACGGTGGCTGCCAACGTCATTGGTGGAAGGGTTTGAAGCAACCAATGTCATGCTTGCTACCAGGTCGCTGAAAGGATAAAGATTAGTATCCAGAGCTAAAAGTGGGCCAAATAGCCTTAGAGAGAAAAACAGGCTCTAAGTTCAGCGATCAAGACTCAGTCCTATATTCTCGTAGGATGGTAATCAACCCAGAATTTTAAAAGAATGTTTTGCGAGTAAACCCTCTCAGAATTTAGAGCCGCAGCTCGAGGGCTTACAATGAGAGGAAATCGAAACAGACAAGGAAAAAGAATTTACGACTACTCCATCTGGCTTCTTGGATAGGTCAGTACAACTCATTAACAGTAAGATCTTTCTTGCATTTTCTTTGCCTTTTTCTATCAAAAGAACAGTCAGGAACCAGTCAGGATAAGCCGTAAGGAGCTAGTGAGAGGGGAAAAGGGAAACCAACGGGCTGGCGCTGCACCTAATCCAGTTCCCTGTCACGCCCCAGCGTCTGCAGCGGAAACGACAGCAACCAAGTAGGAAAGAGTACAGGAAGACACAAAGAAAGACAGAAAGGCACGCTGTTATACAAATAAAAAGTTCAGACGGGGTTCATACATGGACAGGGGATGGGAACATGGTTGGGACAGGGACGAACAGCAAACGAAAGAAAAGAGAAGATAAAGGAAAGAATACGAAAGCATGGTAAGGTGGCCAGTTACAGGATATAGGATAGATGGGAGAATCCTATCCAGGGTTTAGTACTTGGTCATGGGGAGGGGAGGGCTTTTTTGGTCTCGGGTCGTATCTGGTATTAAGCGAAAATTCATCAAAAACGTGAACTTTGATTGTACATCACCGCTTTTCAATGCTTGCTTTACAGTGGCCGTTCAAATGCTACTACTTCTATTCGTTTGTGTGAAAATTTTCATCTTCCCGATATTTCATCTGTCGACTGAAGTCTTCTACATGTTCTACACTGCTTTTGGGTGAGAGAGAGAGAGAGAGAGAGAGAGAGAGAGAGAGAGAAAGAGAGAGAGGGAGTGAGAGAGAGAGATTATTTGCAGAATGAATGAGATTGGCGCAAATGTCTTGTCATATTCCCTGAGATATGAAGCGATAAAGGAGTGTGCGTTCGCCCTCGTAGAATTCTTCTTGAAATGGAGCACATGTTCGATTTACAGAGGGGGTTAAAAAAAGACAGTTTGACCGAGTCACATATCAGCAAAGTTTTCGCAGCCCAGACAGAGGACGTGGATACGAGTACCAGGGCGGAAGATACCCAAGATGTTCCTCGATAAGCAGGAGCTGGCTCTCGCCCATCACCTTCATGTACACCAAATGAAGTCATCTCCAGTCGCAGCCTGACTGGAGAAGACCCCTTTGGAAAACATGTCACCTCCAGACAGCAGCGAAACTATTACGAGAATGCTGAGTTGTGGGCAAAAGTCAGAACATGGACGAGCTGCGAAACTTCTAGCGTGGAGTCATCCATGGATAGCTACCTGGAGACCAGTACTTTCGATCTGGAAGACCCCCAACATTGAGCAGCTGCGGCAACGTCGCTACGGTGTAGGACATCATCTTCACCGCAGTCGCCAAGGCGCGGGTTGATGGTATGGACCGGAGTACCTGGAATGGAAAGACCGATATTTTCTTCGTGGACCCCGGACTGAAGGTGAGCGCTGGCGGTCACATCGAGAATTTACACCGGATAGTTCAAGGACTCTGAGGCACAGCGTCGCACGCGAACCACTAGTAATATTGAGTTGATACACCACTTTCTTGATATAAACATCAATGTAGGGGATGAGCAGCGTTAATCCGCTTGTGCACTTCCCTATCTCGGAAGAGAGATCGGACAATGCAACTAGTTTGTTTCCTTTCAAGTTTTGGAAGAGTTCGCTGAAACGAGTAGATTATTTTAGACAACGTCTATTTCATGGAATTCATTTTTTGAATTGTCGGTTTGTCTGGCAGTGTATATATAGTAAGCATATCACGGAAGAGTGAGGGCGTTCTGGGTGCTTCACTTGGAAACGCTAAGAAGCTGAGTGCGACTTTCAGTGAGAATGCATTACGAAAGCGCTTTCCTGAACGAACGTTTGCCTTTTTGGGGAATTGCAGTCATGTTTTCTAGGTATAGTTGAAGGCAGGACGATAGTAGTCCTAAAAGGAAATATTCCACGATAAGGTCCTACACCATAATGTACTAAAGAACGCAGCCACGCCCTCTCCATCTCCGAGATGTGGACTGTATGAGAGGCTGGTTTGTGCGTGGAAACTTCACCTCAAATTTTCTTAACCACATTCTGGTTCGCAGAATGCTCTGCTTCGCAGACATGCAGATCAATCAATCAATGTTGTTTCAGGGATATTTACGCCGGTATCGGTGCTTATCTTCTATGGATCTTCAGTGATGCACTTCGAAATTACATTTGTGTGAAGCTGAGAATAAGGAAACCCGCTGCTCTATCGTTTAAATCTTCAGTCGCCTTTATCAACGCACCTGAGTACTAACAATAAGTGGTTGTGTGGCGTTATCACGACTGTACACATCACAAAACAGCTGGGTTTATGGGCAGAAGTACGGACCTTAGGCAGGACTCGAACCCCCTTTTCACGATTCCAGGCGAGAGCACCATATGTTACGCCACGAGCACGCCTTATAACCAAGCTGAAATGGTAGGAGAGAACTCAGCGTTACCAATGAGACATTCGCTCAGTAAGCGCGAAATGCGGGTTCACGTCCTCCCTGACGTAGTCATTCTGGATTCCGTTAGGAGAATCGTTTTAAACGCAGTGAGAGATGCATGTTTACTTGCACGTCATCGCCCACTTTTCCTACAGTAGCAACATCTACGAGCAAATCTTACTTGAGAGCCTGAACTTCGACATTATTGGGGTACATAAATCCCAGAACGTAATGAGCGGATCAGTCTCATCAGCTTATCAGAAGACCATGACAATGAGGCCTTCCGATAATCACGTTGGGTTGATCGTCTCTTTGAATTGTTGTTCAATTTTCACTCGCAAGCGAGGTTTTATTCTCTTTTTTTCCGTATAAAGATTGTATGTACATAAAGTTTGTGTACCATGAGCTCGAGAGATTCCACCCCCACAAAAAGAGAAAAAAAATAAACGACATCATCAGAATGACCGGAATTTAGAATGGAGTGAACTCAAACAGACTTCAGATGGATAAAACGATGAGGAAAATCAATGCTAGTGAAAATCATCAATCACTCAGTGTATCAGTAATGGCCAGCCCATAGGTCACCATACCTACTGTCCAGATACGGCCGGAACTCATCGAAGTATTCTTTAGCAATGATGAGCAATGGGTCAAAGGTTACGAAGTAGCTCAGGCGATGGAAGTCCGGACCCTGAAACTGTGTAGCTTGAAACGCGACTCGAAGCGCAACTCAGGGGCCGATTGTTACTGTTGTTGGCGCTTCTACAGGCCCGATCGATTTAAGGACAAACTGTGCACTCACCTCCGAAGACGGTCCCTAGCGCAGGTTGAGTGGGAACGTGGCTGCCAAAGCTCCGGCATGTGCTGCCGTCAAGCCGTACACAAGAAGCGGTAAACGGGGGGGACCCAAAAAAACGGGAGTTGGCCGTGCTTCATAGCACTGCCCGCGGGGATGGCGCAGGCTGTAGTTATGGAGCGTCGGTAGCCGGCATCATGTCCCCGCTCGCGCCTTCCCGTCTGCCTTTGAGCGGGAGAAAGTGGCACGCTACAGCAGCTGCGACCCGTCAAGCATGGAAAACAACCTTCTTCGGAGGTGATTATACAGATGCATACATTCATATTCACATATATTCACAAACACACTGATGGCAGAACTGAGCACTCCAAACATACCTTATACTTTCCGTAAGGAGTCGGATTCATGGCCTCATACACTGTTGTGTCATTCTCATTATGAATCTCGTAGGCGTTTATTCGTGATACATCTGAGCAAACAACTATAAAATCAAACAGTAGGAACGAGAGATCCTGCGCTTTTTTTCCTCTCTTCATCTTCTTGCTTCTCTTTTTCTTTTCTTTTGTGAGGCCATGACCAACATAATTGATGCCCCGCCTGCTTTTATTCAGCAGAACTTGAACTACGGCGAGTCAGCAGGCGCTCCTGATCAGCAAAACTTACTGGCCGGGAGATATGCGAATGGAATATCTGCTTCACCAATCCACTTGTTACCGTCAATCCGATTCCACACAGACAATTGTAGATATTCACTCTGCGGAAGAGTGGAAGAAAGTTCGTGTCACTTATTGAACTATTCCTACCCCAAAAACTGAAAAAAAAATTTTTCGCTGAAACGTTGCCTATAGGTGTAATTCGATGTCCTGATCACGAATATCACATTCGTTTCGAGCGCTGGCGTCATCTGGCGCCATTATGCGCCAATTTGGCGCCCACCACTTTTTTCATAACCAAAGTTGATGAAAAGCTTCAGGATGGGGTTACTTAGGCCTTGATGTGCTTTCGATTTACATCCTGACACTGGCATTCTGGCGGTTAACGCTATTTGGGCGCCAGGCGTGACCGCCAATTGGCGGGCCATATGGGTTGGCGCAGTAATGGCGCAAAGTGGCGCTAGCGTTCCGAAGCCAGGTGATAGTTCGTGAGCAGGGATGTCGATTAACCTCTCCGTAGGGCAATTTCATCATTTTTGGTGAGAAAAGGGTGGCGCCAAGGACGTGCGCATAATGGCGCGCGAAATTTCCGCCAGCGCATCGACGGATGTGTATATTCGTGTTGATCAGCGCAATCGCATATACATCTATAGGCACGTTTTCAGCGTTATTTGACAACTCTTTTTGAGTTTTTGGGGTCCGGAATAGTTCAATAAAGGCGCGAAAGTTCCTATGAAACAACGTTAGATGAAGACACCTTGTAAAATTAAATCTATGCTTCACAATCAAGTAGGGGCCGGTATAAAAAGGGAATGAGGATTTTTCCCTGAATCAATCATTAACGAGAAGGCTTTTACTATATTGGTAGAGAAGGCCGATGGGGCATCTTCACTCTGTCCCTGCTGATACCGCCCCGACTGACTGCGACGATATCAGCATACCATTCCATGCATGAGGTGGACAAAGTAAGGACTTAGAGAACACCCAGCCACCTTAACATTCAAGCTTCATTTCCTTACAGTTTCTACTTCTCAAAGTGGCGTATTCCCAAAGCTACCAGTCTAGCTGGCAAATGGAAAGGATCCACCTTGCAGGTAATTGTACTATGTATTACACAAGCAATAATTAAATAAATAATGGTTCAGGTGTAAGAAGTGGAAGAGGGTACTAGAGTCACAAGCATACCCCGCATTTCCCTGATCACATTAATACCTTCATTGAAGCTTTTTCGTTCGCCATCGAGGAGAAGGCAGAGCCATTGCTGGTGCGGACCCAATTCGATCTCTACGTACTGATCCTTGTTATTTGCCATGAAGATTTCCAGCACTTCGTAGTTGTAAAGCTATAATGACAGGTCGTCTACAACGGCATGAACCCAAGGGTACAATGGCCGGTGAATTGGGACGGAATATAATTGATTTGAATGGAAAGGCACTGTCAGCCGGCTACGGTCGGAACTAAGTGACTATTGGAGCTAGAAACTTCATATAATAGAAAGGAGGTTGTTGTTCGCCTACCTGAGGAGTAGCACCAGCGGTATGATTCGGAGCAGGAGGATTGTTGTAGAGATACTTCTGAAAATGATTCTTCAGAGGAAGTGGTTCTTTTGTTACCCACTCACCCGTAGCATCGGTCACTAAAGTGTAGGAAGTGACTGCGAAAAATAATCGTGTTTATAGAACATAGCCCACAAAATATTTCGTAAAGAGAACGTAGGGTTGAGAATGTGAAAATGTCTTTTTCGCCTACCAGCCCTCCCC